TRGACCTCTTGATGTTTAATCTGGCAAGTGACAACCTACCCTTCATACAAACAATACTAATCGACAAAGGGACAATTGCAAAAAGATAGTAACACATAATTTTTAAAATTTAACTTTAAGATTATTTATTGAACAGCAAACATATATAATTTCAAAATCAAATAAATAGTCAATCCTTCGTATTATTTCCAAAAAAATTTAATAAAATAAAAGATACTACTTAAACGTGAGACCCACTAAATTTCGAGTTTTCTTAGATATATAAAGTATTTTCTTCATGTAATAATAGTACAATATTATATGGTGTGAAATGTGAATCTCACAAGATATATGTCAGAATGACATTGTGAGATCAGATCCGGAGGGGTCCATTTTCTTTATTTTTTCATTGTCCTTGTTCTATATTTTAATTCTCAAATCATTTTATGTTTTTTTCCGTTTGTTTTTTGATAAGTAGTAGTATTAATCATCGACTTTTTTTTTAATAATTCGTACTGGTCAAATGATCAACTCCACCTATCAGGAATCTTTATTAATCTTGCTCCGCTAGTTCTACATACTTTTTTTTTTTTTGTCAACTACACATGTAGAATCATACTAATTAATTAAAAAAATTGTACATAGACACTTTTGACTTTACATCAAAATGAGAATAATAAAAGGGATGAGTTGATCAAGTACATATACGCATAAATTTGATGTTAGAAACCATCTAGTACATCAATTAGTGATTTGTATGATCGCATCTACTATATATAAAAAGAAATATCTCACATACTCAATATTGGAGTCTTATCTCAAACTATTTATTTAAAAACTCCATACAAAATTTGTTGTTATCAAGAAAAATAAAGACCCTAGCTAGTCTTTTTTTTTTTTTTAATAACGACCGTAATTCTTCTTATACTACAAAATATTCAAATTTCATACAGATCATTTTTTGGAATCTTGATTACTTCTTTCGTAATCCAAAAAATCGTACGGCTATCCACAAACATGTGGATCATTTCAAAGTTTCTCTATTGTGGTCAACATATGGATTATACAAAGTTAATAATGGGGTATCAAAAATAGTAAAACTTGTTCAACAACTTGTCATAATAAAAGATGAAATATATAACTTTTGTACTATCATTAAGGAACATGACGATCACTAACTACTAGTAGTACAAAAGCTGGGCCCAAGCCCACGAATGACAGAGAGCCGACAAATATAGTTTTGACTCCTCGGACGAATCGCAAGACTGGTCTTGTCCCC